ATTCGGGGTCAAGGTCCTTCAGTTCAGATGGGCGGGGTTTCTTAGGCACTAGTGTTATTGTCGCTGTCGACCGCAGTTTGTCAATGCTTCACAGTGGATACAGTTGTTGTATATATCCGCGAAAATCCCACAAAATTGTGTGGCACAATCATGTAGGACTAACATTGAGATTTGATCAAGCCATGTAGCAGCAGATCTGCATAACCGACGGAACCTGCGACGAGTGTCGCCTGTAGTGAATATAAGGATTTCAACAACCGGTAACGTGTATCCTGGTGAGAGACTGTTCTCGCCCTTTTCATAACGCGGAAAGAACGTGTGAAGTTCGGCTATGTCATGTGATGGCAGGGAATGTTTATGTGTAGATTCATATATCCACTCCAGGTCATCCTATGCGGAACTTAAATGGAAATTTATAAACAGTTTCAATATATTTATTTAAAGAGGTTTGCTCTGTACAGCGATATTAGAATTTTGTGAAGTTTACGATATTTATGCTGATACAACAAGTTGGATTCAAAGTAAAGATTTATACTGTTAACGGCGTCAAAGAATTTTGTCTGCTTGTTAACCTGCTCGAAGAATTCCTTAAGGCCTTCGACTTGCGATCTGTCAACTTGAAATAATGATGATTTGTGCATTAAGAGGAAGTAGATCGCTGTTTCAGTTATTGCCAACCAGTCATTGTTGCAGTCTACTTCGTTTTATCATGGTTTTTGCCGACTTTAAATATACTCTTGAAGAAATACCACTTTAATATTCAGTGTTTTTCGCCTGCGTGTTTTCCAAAAGCCACGTTAATGTCTTTTTGTAACGATCATGCCGCTATTTTACTGATGCGACTAGTTGATTTGATTGTTAGCCTTTCTAGCTATAAGAAATAATGTTTGCGCCATTTAAGTTCTAAACACTGTTTTGGACCAAGACCCAAATTTAGGAGCCTCTAAGATTGCTCAGATTACACTGGCAGTGGTTTGTTATAAATCTGAAATGTGAGGAGTTGCTCAAAACATTTGATAATATGGTTGGCTTTCACGCAGGTTTTTTCTTCTTTACAATAAACGCATAAAATACGCGGTAACATTAGGAGTACCAATTCCTGAAATATGGTTCATAATCAGCGCGAGGTGATTCTATTCAACAGAAAGCTATGAAATTCATCTGGGACTGCATGTGCTCAAATGCCATGGTGTCGTAGTCTACTTGAATGACCCCTTGGGCAACTAGGAGTAAGAGGGCGATGCATTGTGCCGTGAAATTTTTCCGTGGAGTAGTTATGCGTTACTGAAAATAGAAAGATGTCTGTCATAAGTTTAGTAATAAAAATATACAAAGTGTTCATTACTGTGCTGATTGTTTGTTGAATTTCAGCGAATCGGCCGTTTCGACCAACATTCATCGGATCATCTAAATGGTGACGAAACACCTGTGGAGTATTTGAGAGTGAGTACTTCAGTAAACAGAATTTTTTGTCCATACTGCAAACATGCTTTGCTTTAAGAGGCTTTTCGACCTCAGTTATCAAGATGCGAGGAAAAACTTGGGCATGGTGGGCTTGCAGACTCACGCACATACAGTAAAAATTCAAGACCTATCTGGCGGTCAGAAGTCTCGTGTAGCACTGGCTGAATTATCACTCAATGCGCCTGATGTTCTTATTTTAGTTACCGTTATGCTTATGTTGTTTGAGCAGTTACCAGTTGGTTATTTTAGGATGAACCTACCAACAACCTGGATATTGAATCGATTGATGCTCTCGCAGAGGCTATAAACGATTACAATGGCGGTATGGCTTCAGAACTTCTTTGACCAGATTTTTTGATTGACTTCAGATAAATTCAAGGTCTGAGCCTGAAAGTGACTTTCTCATCGTATTATTACCAGACATCATTAATTTGGGTCTCGGTTTTTGACCCTGATACCTCTGATGACGATGACAACAACATCTCATTATATAGATGCTATACGAATATCTGATATATGCCTAATACAAGCAAAGTACATCAGTGATACTATTCCAGATGGCAATGCGTTTATTTTGAAGTCTTATTTCAGTGCTTTTTTCTTGCTATTTGAGATCTGTACGAAGGCGTTTGAGGCATTAAGAAAGTATGCAAGAAATCTCGCAGTTATTCGTGATGAATGCCACAGCATTCAGATCGGACAATTTCCTGTGTGTATGAAGATTTATCACCTTCTAAAATTCCTAACACAGTCAGTGTCAAAATCAGATAAGTTTTGAAAGATCTGATTCAATAGATTCAGGCACAAAGATGAGGCGAATAGATTTTTTAATTCTGATTTTTCGATCTCATCAACGTGTTATTCATCGAGGCACGAAATGAACAGAAATTGAATTCAGTCGCTGTGGCAAAAACTCTGGTCTGACTTAATAAAATAACTTAAAATTACACGTTACAGCAAGGCTTTAAATTCCTAAAATGTAATCAAATAAAGTGGACGAGATTAAACAAGGCAATGTATTATACTCCTTGCCATGGATACTAAAAAAGGTAACCTGTCATTGCATCTGTTTTATTCAGCAGAGATGCAAAGATTCTTTGATTAACAGTATATTTAGATCTTTGATGTAATCTAAAGCATCACTCAGAATGATTGAGTAAGTAGCATGGTCATTTCCGTTATCCTTTTTCTAAAGACCCTGAACATTTTCCCAATATGTGTAACATTACAAGTATTGCAGTTTATCTGATATATTATGTACTTAGCGACTACTATACAACGATGTCGAAATTTTTTATCTATCAAGAACTCCTTACTGAAAAATACATAGCCCTCTTCTTTGCAACAAATGACGGATTTCTTTTGATATATCCATTGTAATTGAAGTGGTACGAGTTAATCTGTTAGTTGCGTTTTTCGAGATTTCGTTCCGGAGCCGTTGTTTTTAGCACGGTGTTGGTAGGTGTTTATATAAGTGTTGGTGAATCGCAGAGATTGTTCTGAAGGATTATGTTTGTTCTTTTCTGCGATGATGTCAAGGTGCAGTATGTGCCAGATCGGTATTCGTGGTGTTGACGTTAACCTGAGCATTTTTGTCACAAAGTTACCCAAATACCGGACGTTGTTTGTTTCAGAGCTCTCAGTACCACGCTTTAACCACATTTTCAATCAGTAAATGTCTTCTTTATGCTACATGCAAATGCCTGCGGTGGTTCCGTTATTTTAACCTTAAATGCTAAACTATTTACGTAGTCGAAAGTAATGCTGTATATGGCAATATGTTGATTTTATTCTTTTTCATCGCAGCTTTTGGCGGAACTTTTCAATAGTTGTAGTTCATTTTGGAAGGGAAGGAACACTGGTTGTAGTCGTAACCCGATCGTGTTTACTCGAAATTATGGAGTGTGTAATTCATGATGACTAAACACTTTATGGAATTTTCTTTATAAATGTGATGTCATCATACACGGAAATAGTGATTTTTTTAACTAATACTGTACGGTAGCGTATTTTGATGGTGCTCTGAAAAAGTCCTTCATTTCTGCAGGACCTCTGTTAATCAGTTTAGCATCTTCGACCGCTAAACTTATTAATTCAGTTGTAACATTTAGTGTTTTCCTTTAAATCTGGATGACTGGGTGTCTTTTGAGCATCAACTTTGTTCTGACATTCAGTTGCTAGGGTATTTATCTTCATCTTCCATCCCCGCTTCTTCTTTCGGGTCGCGGAGGCAGACGCGTCAGACAGAGCTTCCAACGTTATTATTATAGGGTATTTATTTTTCGTTTGACTAGGAGATAAGTTATTATCTGAGAATGTCAGAACATTTCGCTTCTTTCCATTGTGTTCATAAATGCATAGCTTTCAGATGTGCTTTAGGTGTTATCATGGTGACCCATGATGAACGACTCATCAGAGAGACGGGCTGTCAACTGTGGATTATTGAGCATCGAAGTATAAACGAAATTGATGGCGACTTCGATGATTATCGTAGAGAACTTCTTGAGTCTCTTGAAGAAACGAAGTAATGCCCTGTCCGTTTTTGGGAAATGGAAGCACTTGTCTGTGTTCTTTTGAAGTGAAATAAATTTTTGTTCGTTCTGTTTCTTGCTTTCCCCGCGATTATCAACTTCAGCTGCGTTGGCGACGTTCAGTCGTTTTCTGTTTGCTTGCTGTTCTGTTTGCAGATTCTATTTAACTTTGTTGAAAACTGACAATCATTTCTTGGAATGTTCAGAAACTTCTGAATTTATCTGGCCTCTTGGTTGAAAGTTGTTGTTCATCGATCGCGATAGGTAGCTGTCATGTAAGAAATATCGACATTGTTTTGTAGTAATTTTCAGTGAGTCATGGAATTTTGTTTGGTACTCTAGGGGCAGTTTGTATTTCTATAATTGTAAATGTAGAATTTCGAGATTTAGAGCTTGAGTGCATTTTGTTTCAAAAATAAAACACCTGAAATTAAAGTGACATGATTCAGTTAGAAAGTGGCCAACGAGCAGTTTACCAGTTATGTGACTTTTGATACCTTACCGTATCTTTTTTCGCTTAATAATTTTTCTAGTGCTGAAAGTCAGTGTTAATTATTAGTGGATAAGCACACGATTTAATGGCATTCTGAAGAATAAGGACTCGAAAACATTGTTATCACGTAAATTTCAGTGGGCCACGTGGGTGGTTGCGCTATATTAATGTTATACTGAAGAGTTCGAGTTATTCGGCAGTTGCGTTCGATCGCTGAAGCACTTATACTTACCTTATTTACGAACCGGTGCTCAGTTCAAAATTTCTAACATTCAGAGACATGCTCAGAACATTATGCATTTTGAATGG